CTAAAACTCTTACTTTCATATAATTTACTTAATTTAAAATGAAAAACATCAATTTATTTGTAAATACACTGTTAAATTTTGTAAGAATGTATGTAGACTTTTATTTCTGACTCAGTCCTTTCCTCTCTCTTTCTCTCATCTGTCTATCTATCTATCTATCTATCTATCTATCTATCTATCTATCTATCTATCCACTATCTATTATGTATATCTATATCATCTATCTACTATCTATCACTATCTTCCTATCTCTCTGTCTCTATCTCTGTCTCTCCTTCCTTTCTCAGTCCCACTTTCTCTCTTTCCCTCCCACTATTTACATGTTAAAGAGTTTTTAAAAAGAAAAAATGTAAAGAAAGCCTAAGTGAGCAGGTCAGATGGTAAATCCAATGAATGGGTTTGTGAAATAGAAGGCAATTTTCCAGTCAGCTAATATGGAACAATTATAGAAGATTCCCCCAGGCTATTTCTTTTCTTTTCTTTTCTTTTCTTTTCTTTTCTTTTCTTTTCTGCTAATCTGTTAGTACTAGAGAGGACAATAGGCTTATTCTGTTTCTATCTCTGTGACCTTTTGAGAAAGTCATTTAACCTCTTGAAACTTCATCTTTCTCATTTAAAGTATTCTTATTCTAAAATTTAAGTGATACACAATATAATAAATTGCTGTTAACAATAGTCATCTCATTGTGCTTTAGAACGTTTGAACTTACTCTCTAGCTTTTTGTGTCTTTTATCCAAACTTCCTCTTTTGCTGTCCCTTCTCCAGTTCCTAGCATCTAGAAATGTCTCTTCACTTCCATGAAACTGACTATTGTAGATTGCACAGGGATGGAGAAGATGCAGTATTTGTATTTGGATCTCTGGCTACCATCATGTTCTTCAGTTCTTCTGTCCTTGTTGCTGCAAATTATTAGACTTCACTGTTTTATGGAGAAATAAGATACATCTATCTTTTTCACCTTGGTATGTGCTGTACTCTTGTGAATAGTAAACACTGGGATGCAGGCATCTTTTAGTACAGTGATTTCACTTCTTTCAGCTGAATTAGATAGCACTTCTGTTTTCACTTGGAGAATCTGCGCACTTACATCTTGTCTGTATTCATTTATATTCCTACCAACAATGTATAAGACTCTCCTTTTAGCCACACTCTCACTAGCACCTGTTTTGGTTTGTCTTGTTTGGCTATGGTCACATTAAGTGGGTTAAGGTGCTACCTCTTTATGATTTTGATTTGCCTTTTCCTATGAATTACTAATGCTGTGCATTTTTTCATATACTTGCTGGATGCTCTATATTCTCAGGGAGAAATGTCTATTGCTCATTTTTAGTTACATATTTTTTACTGCTTTTAAGTTTTTTAGTTCCTTATATGTTCAATATATTAATTATTGGTAACATGAATAGCTACCAATTCTGTAGCTTGTCTTTTCATGCCATGTTATTTCACTTGCCATGCATGATCTCAACGTAATCCCATTTGTCTGTCTGTCCTCCCCCTCTCCTTCCCTCTTTTCCTTTTCCATTTTCTATTTATTTTTTCAAGACAGGGTTTCTCTGTGTAGCAGCCCTGGCTGTCCTGGAACTCTCTCTGTAGACCAAACTGGTCTCGAACTCATTGAGATCCACCTGCCTCTGCCTCCCCAGTGCTGGGATTAAAGGTGTGTGCCACCACCACTTGCCCCCCCTTTTTTTTCTTGAGAGATAGAGTTTCACTATATAGACCAGACAGGAACTCAGAATCCTCCTGCCTCAGCCTCTCAAGTGCTATGATTAGTATTTTTGTATTTACTGCCTAGAGTACAGGGTTTTATAAAATAAGTACTGTTTATGGTTATAATTGAAGTGTTCCCTGCGTTTTAGTATGGTGGTTTAACAGTTTCATATTTCACCTATAGTGCTTCAATCCACTTTGAATTGTATCTTAATATAGTGAGAGAAAGGGCTCTGGTTTTATATCAATTTCCCCCAGTACTGTTTATTGACAAGATCATTCTTTCTCCAATGTATGTCTTTTGTTGTTGTTGTTGTTATTGAGTGTGTGTGTGTGTGTGTGTGTGTGTGTGTGTGTGTAACTGTCACAGGTCAGGGAATCATAGCTATATGGACTTGTTTCTAGTTCTCTATTCTATCAAATTGCTCTATGTGTTGTTTTTTTATTCCAGATGCATGCTGTTTTACTTACTATGGCTTTATAGTATGTTTTGAAAATGTCTATACTACACAAAGTGGTTTATAGGTTCAAGTCAACTGCCATCAAAAGCCTAACAACTTTCTTCACAGAAGATTTAAAAATCACAAATTTCATTAAAGAAAAAACATGAAATGGTGAATACTCAAAGCAATTTCAGTGCAGAGAGAGAAAGCTGAGGTTTCACAATGACTGACCTCACTTAAGTTCTTTAGAAAATATTTTAAGGTTATACTTCTTTCCCGTAATTGTAGAAAACTAGAACTATAAACAGGAAACAGAGGGTTTCAAACAGCTCATAAATGGAAAGTACTAAAGAGACACCTAGAGATAGATGGTGGTCTTTGGCTGACACGGAGCTGCCTCAACTTGTCTGTTGTCTTTTAAAAAAATTCTAAGTATCCCGTGGTAGAAACTTTGAAAAGACAGAGAAGAAACAAAAGCAAAGCAGTGTGCACCCCTGACAGTTCCTTTTCCCAACTCCATTTTGGGGCATCCCCTTTGAAGCAGTTATGCATGATTTTAGGAAGTGCATATCTGACACTAACAAACAAAACTAGGACCAAGAGGAAGGAAAAATAAAGCTGACAACTTCTATATGGATCAGAGTTAAGTTCTATTCAAGTTATATGTGTCTGTGTTTCTATTTTTGTAAAGTTTATTAATTTCTTCATAATTGTAATCTAAGTACATGGCATATAAAGTCCCTAACACCTATAGATTCTATACTGGGTAGTTTTAATTTTCAACTCTAGAAACACCTGGAAAGAGATTATTAATGAGGAATTATCTAGATCAAGTTGGCCTGTGAGCAAGTCTGTGTGGGAACTATCATGATTGTCATGATTTTCATGATGAAGGAAAAGATTCAGCCCATGGTGGGTGGCACCATTCACTAGACAAAGTATTGAAAGATTTAAAAATTAATGAAAGACTTAAAAATTAGCAAAGAAATATAGCCCAGAAACTGACCAAGGCTACTACTATGACTTAGTGCCTGGAATTTACCAGCCACCAGCAATTACTCCCTTACAAGGCCATAAGATAACTGGGTACCAAGAATTCCCAGATGGCCACCCTCCCAGAAGGGCTCATGAAGGAAACAGATTGCCCCACCGGCCAATGTGTCAATCATTAACAATTAAGGGTCCCGGTGAAACAAAGAGATAGCTACCATTAGTTAGCACATCCTGAGTTCTGCAGGTTTTACAACTGGTGGGGTCAGGAGGCTATCTGATTCCCAGGCCTCCCCTCAAGACAAAGGGCTTCCTAGGAACCCATGACTAGTCACATATTCAATGGACAGAGAGTCGAGGCCCCTCCCTAAGCTTATGGTTTTTGCCTTTAAAAACGCCTGTGCCTGGGGGACGGGGCTGCTCTCCAGCCTGCATGCTGAGGGAGCCCGTTTGTACAAACGTCCAACTTTCATTAAAGCCTCTTGCTGTTTGCATCAAGTTTCTGCCTCCACTCGGTTGGGGTGGCTGCAGTCCTGGGAAAAGATTCTGGAGGCCTGAGCTTCTGGGGTCTTACAGTATCTTGAATACGAGAGGAGAAAACTAGCTGAGGGGAAATAAGTATGTGTTTATTCTCACTCTACTGTTGACTGTGGATGCTTTGTTTCTTCCTTGACTTCTCCAAAATGATGGTTTGTGACTTAACATTGTAAGCCAAATAAATACTTTCTTCCCAATGTTCCTTGTATTTAGATTATTTTGTCACCCTGACAAAAACATAACTAGGACAAATTTCTACCCACATAAACATTTAGTACAAAGTAGTAATAAAGGAAATCACTGAAATGTGGATTGGGGTGCCCTCTAAGATACTGCTCTTTCTCTCCTTTTTTGAACTTACCCCAAATATAGGTCCTAGTTCTTTTCTGAACTACGTGTTTCACTTTTTTCCTTTTGCTTGACCTGAGTATCACTCCTTATCACCAGACTGCTAAGGGCTACAGTAATGATGAGTTCAGCTTTCCCCTGACCCATCAAGAGAATTGTCCTTAGTCTTTATCTAGTGCCAAGCATGAGCAGGAGGTTAGGACAATGCTGTGTATCATTACATTAATGTGGGGAAAAGGAAGAAAAATTGACTTCCTCGGCTCAGTTGTATACATAAACATTCCAGTTTCCTGAGGATTTTAGAAAACCCAAATGCTGACAGAATGAGGGCCACTAATACCCACAAGGCAATGTAGGCTACTGTCCATTTTGCTGCTAGTGTTAACAAAGCTGCTGTAATCAGATGTTCCTGAGGTATATTAGCTATCCATTAATTAATTCCTTGCTTGTATCAACCTCATCAGTGGCTGCAGTGTATGAAGATAAATTAGCTTTACTTATCGCTGTCTTAAATCTCTTAGGAGATAATGACAGCTAATTGAAACTATCAGAATTAAAAATTAGTTAGCCTTCAAATCAGCAAACTAGAACACACATTGTCTAGTTTAAGCAGAAAAGTAACTAATTAAGATGTGGGAAACTTACCAAATCTCCAAGAAAGTCCCACAGAGGGTAGAGGGCCTATAATGATTAGGCTAGAAGGCTCCAAGTGAAACTCTCCACTCCTGCTTCTAGAGAGGGGGAGGGAAGACTTCACCCTCACACTTCCAACACTGATTCAGGGTTCAGTTAAATCTAGAGGCCTCTAAAAATGACATGCACTTCTTTTCTTTGTGCTTTGCAAAAAGCACAGAGTCCCAGGAAGTTGCAAAATTAGTTCAGACAGGCCTTTCCAACCCATCCACTAGTGTCATTCAATGGTTACATTTTACATAAATTGAAAAAGAAGAAAATTGTGTTGGGGTGTATATATATATATTTCTGTATAACTGCATAGGTTCATAAAGGCACAGTACAATCAAGATGCCATACTGTTCCATTGCCACAACCATTTCCTTCATACTTCCCCTTCATAGTCACACCCTCCCTTTCTCCTCCCTCACCACTAGCAATCATCCATCAATCTTCATTTCACTCTGTTTTCAAGGTCACATAGTGATTAGAACTGAATTGCTCATCACAGGAATTTCTCCTTTGCCTGTAAAGAAAATCATGTGAACAGAAAACAGAACTTCAGTAGGCAGAGAATGTCTTTGGGAAGGAGATGTAGCAGGCTGAGCTCAGAGCAGCCACTCTCAAGTGTAAGATGAAGACTGTGGTACCCAGAGATCAACAGCAACTCCCACACAGGACTAAAAGTAATGAGGTAGCAGTCACGATCACAGAATTTCACAAATAAAAATAGTTTATACTTGGTGTGTCCAAATTATGATTCAAAGGATATCTATACATTAAAATTTCCTTCCAGCCTCTTTTCCTTTTAATTATTTTTAGCTTAAAAATTTGAAACATATATAAGAAATTTAGAATTCTACTATATGCAACTGGATATAAATCAAGATTACACCATTATCATTTAAGCCTACTTTATCACATTTCCATCACTTATTCTCTTATCTCTCTTGGATTCTTAGCTGCATTTTGTACAACATTAGAAGTATCCTTGTTGTGCCCAAATTCTGAACCCCAAAATTACCAAGAGGCCCATTTTGATGCAAAAGCAATGAGTCTTTTATTGCAGTTGTTTAACGAGCTATCCCCATTAGCTCAGGCCTTTCCTCCTTCCACCATGGCGGATGGCTGGGAAAAGACCTGGAGAAACCACCAGACAAAGGTCTTATAGGGCAGTGTAAGGGGAGTGTCTAGGGGTATGCATAATCTCAGGATTGGTATACCTCCAGGCTTGGAGACCTGCCCTGTGTTGATTGGTTAACTGGCTGTTATGGCCCATAGGCTCTCCCAGGGCGGTTGCTATGCTCTGCACATCACTGCTGTGCACTTGTGCGTAAAGCACACCCACAGGCATAAAGCATAGCCCCACTAGCTAACTTCTGATTGGTTCCTTGCCATGAGGTGGGCATCTGACCTTCTGGTGACCATGACATGCTCAGAAAGGTCAGGCAAGCACGTGTTAGCCTGTCATAGCTGCCAAAACGGGGGAGGGGGGCTTGCTGGTCCCTTCATTCCCCACTTCTCAAAATATCCATGACAGGACTCAATCCTGAGTCCTGAATGTTAGGGGCTCAAAGGTGTGTTAAAGGGCCCTGCCATTAGCTGACAGATTTTTCTGAGGGAGTGACATTTGCATCTGTTGTCATACTGTCCCCTATGTAAGGGAGTTTCCTTTTTGAATTAGCATTTCAACCAGGGAAAATGGGCAACATATTCTTTCTCATGCTACCTCCTGCTGACTTTGGGATGCAGTTAGGGAGCCAAGAGGGCTGAAATTCTAATCAAAAGCAAAAAGGCAATTTAGGCAATGAGGAAGCGGCTGGTTGGCAGACTCTGTTGAAGGGACAGAGGGTGTCCACGTGGGCTGGACTGGTTCAGATCCACAGCAAGTCCAGGGCTTGCAGTCCTTAGAAGCAGGCTGTAGTCAGCAGCTGACACTGAGATGTGTCTACCAGAAGCAGAAACCTGTTTAAGACATGTTTAAACTGGGAACAGAATTTAAAACTTATTTAATTGGAATTCTTTTTTTTTTTTTTTTTTTAAGATTTGGTTCATTTATTTTGTATACAGCATTCTGCTTCCAGAAGAGGGCACCAGGGATGGTTGTGAGCTACCATGTGGTTGCTGGGAATTGAACTCAGGACCCTTGGAAGAGCAGTCAGTGCTCTTAACCTCTGAGCCATCTCTCCAGCCCCTTAATTGGAATTCTTTAGACCCATAGTTTTAGTCATCAGGAAGGGTGGGAGTTCCAAGACCAGGGCAGAAAATCCCATCCTTAGGAACAGACAGGTGGGATAACATAGGTTGTATTTATCTGGAGTCCTTTTGACCTGTGAGAAGTGGATCCACAATTTATGACTTTTGATCCTCTGAAGTCTACATGAAATTGATTTTAAAAAAAGGATATAACAATTTTAGATACATTGACATTATCAATCTGTACTGAAACCCACATTGCAGAAAAAGCAGATATCTGGGTATCTGTTAAACAGCAGGAACGTACTCATATTTTTGTGTCCTAGCAATTAGTCTTCTGTCCAGAAAGCCAGGTATGAATTGGACAGAGGTGCCTTTGGCCTGATGTAAAGCCCTTTAAGTTTATACCCAGATGACAACCAAAATAAACCTAAAAACCTTGAGCTTGTGACTGAACAGCAGGTAGTCACTACTCTATCAGCTTATCAGAACTTTAAAACTTTTATGTTCTTACATCCTTAGATCTTTATTAAGGAGCAATATTAAGGCTTGGTTTTTACATATATAAAATGAGCTACCAAGGTGACCATAGTCTTATGGATTTGGCTGCCTGGTGCTGCCAAGCTGACAACCATTAATACTTTCAGAGATCTGAGAAGGGTAAATTTATACATTTTCCAAATCTATTAAAAAGTGACAGGGGCCAGTCTATATAACTGTAGTTAGCCATACCCAACTGTCAAAGCAGAAGTATCAAAGAACAGCATCAATCTTCACCAGGCCTATAAGATGAGAGTTTTCTTTCTCTCTGTGGAAGAGGGACATGGAAAAGACTAACCTTGTTTTGTCTAGGCAAAGGGGGTGCAGTCAATTTTCCAGTATCCAGAAGTTTTGTCCACAGTCTGGGCCAGGTCCTGGTAGTAGGTGTTGCATCTGAGCATCTTGTTCACTGGTCAGCTTCATCATCCAGGTGCAGGAACTGGGGTGCCTCGTAATCTTCTTTGGAGACTTTGGGTCACTGTCAGGATCTGGCAGTCTGTCTGATATTATAGACTTTTAAAATAACATTTTAAATGTCACATTCTGCAGGTCTCTGAAGCATTAGAGGTTTGTCTGTTTAGTTACTTGCCTTAAGCACATAGGTGGCTAGGTAAGGCCTTATTTCTGTAATTAATTAATTTTTAGTCTGACTATAACAGTTTTTGACAGTAAAATATTTGAAATTTCTCACAGTTGAATTTAAATTGCATATAGTTATCCTATGTTCTTTAAACAGTAGATACATGTACACATTTTAGTTGCTTGCTTAAGCATAACTTCTGAAAAGAAAAACTGTATTAACTTATATTTTTAACATCTTACAATAGATTAGCAGCTTTTATACAACCAGAACTTCACATTGTCAGGTTTAGCTTTAAAAATAATAATTTTTAAATTGAAGCTCTTTAGGTACAAACATTAATAAAAACATTTTAAAAGCATAAACATCTTATAATCTTATAAATTTAAACATTTTATAAAAAACTGTTCTTAAAAAGAAATTTAAAATCTCTTAAAATAAAATACTCTTTATGCCTTAAAACCATTATCACCTGGGTGACTGTTAAATTACAATGTTTAGCATCGCTGTATATAAAAGCATTAACATTTTAAATCTTAATTAAAAAATAAACTTGTTTATAAAATGGTACCTCCTGGGCTGGAGAGATGGCTCAGTAAGTTAAGGGCACTGACTCTTCTTCCAGAGGTCCTGAATTTAATCCCCTGCAAACACATGGTGGCTCACAACCACCTTGAATGAGATCTGGTGCCCTCTGCTGGCATGCAGGCAGAAGAGTGTATACATAATAAATAAATAAAATCTTTTTTTTTTTTTAAAAAAAAGGTACCTCTTAACTTCCATGTGGTCACCTTCAGTCAAGATGGCAGTCCGAGTATCTTTCAATTTCAGCAAAATGCCTCACAACCAGACATATGACCAGCCTGCCACATGGCTGACTGCAAAATGGTGGCAACCTGCACCATTTTTTTAGCTGTATGCTTGTAACAGAACTTAGATTATGCCAGATAGAGCTTTTTAACAAAACAATCATATATAATTTTTTGAGAAATAAACAGAACTTTTTAAACAGAACCTAATATGGTTAAAATTTTAACATATTACCAATTTTTAAAATTTACTATTTGTAGATATGAAAAACCATAGCAAACAGTTCACATTTCCCTTTCGTAGTTTTTAATAACTTTAAGGCCATTCTGTTTTGGCTCACCCACCTCGTGCTGTGTGCTCAGGGCAAACACCTGAAGTGGAGGTGGGGGTAGGGATGGGGGGAGGGGGCTGCCAGTAAGCCCATGCCTGATTTTAAAGGAAATGCTCAGGTTTCCCTTATGCAGTGTAAAGGTGGTCACAGGTTTGTCAGAGTCTTCGTTACATTAGCATGTGCTTCTTTTCTTTCTAATTTCTTAGAGATTTTATTATTAAGATGTTGAACTTCATTAAATTCCTTTATACCTCAGTTGAGATTCTCATGTGATATCTAAGCATTATGTGTATTAATTTTGATACTGTTAGACCCCCCGAAAACTCAAGTATCCGGGGTCCCAGGCCACGTTCTCGGTCACCCCAATCACCAGGCGGATTCGAGAGCTTGCTGCAAACTGCACGAGGCTTTATTGTAATTTAACGAGCTAACCCCATGTTAGCTCGGGTCTTTCACTCACCCGCCATGGCGGATGGCTAGAAAAGACGGCTCCTAGGGGCTCCCAGAAGATCTTATAGGGCAGCATAAGGGGAGTGTCTAGGGGTATGCACAGGCTCAGGATTGGTGTGCCTCCAGGCTTGGAGGGCTTGCCCTGTGTTGATTGGTTAACTGGTTGTTATGGCTCATAGGCCCTCCCAGGGTGGTTGCTATGCTCTCTACGTCATTGCTGTGCGCTAGTCCGTAAAGCACACCCAGAGCCATAAAGCATAGCGCCACCAGCTAACTTCTGATTGGCTCCTTGTCACGAGACAGGCATCTGACCTCTAAGTGACCAAGGCAGGTTTATGGCAAGCACGTGTTTGGCTGTTATGGCTGCCAAAAGGGAAGCTGGTTCCTTCAGATACATTTAATTGTCTTTGCATCTCTGGAATGAAAGCAACATGTTCATGGCATGGGTCTTCATGTGTCCTTGATTTCAGTTTACAAAGATTTTACTTAGAATTTTTGAGTCTATGATCATGAAAGGAATTGCTCTATAGGTTTCTTTCTTTGTTTGTTTTTTCTGTTGTATATTTGTCCCAGTTTGGGTACAAATAATGCTGACAGTGTAGAATGAGTTTGGTAATGTACCTTTCCTCCTTATTGTTGGAACACTTTGAAGAACTTAGTTAGCTTGTCTTAGAGAATGGGTAGAACTTGACAGGAATCCATAATTTTTTGTTTGATTGTTAGGAGGCTTTTTATTGTTTGCTTTGCTTATATCCTTTTTATTTAATTTTGGTGGGTCAAATGCAGTAGGAATTTATTTCTTCTAGATTTTCCAGTTTTCCTGGATTTTAAGTTTCAAAGTACTCCCCAGAAATCCTCTTCATTTGTTGTAATAATTCCCCCCCTTTCTTCTCTGATTTTATTAATTTTGATCTTCAGTTTTTTAAAACTTTGGTGACTTTTTCTATTTTGTTTTGTTTTTCAAAAAATGCACTCTGCTTGAGCTTCATAATCATTCTTTTAGTCTCCATTTCATTAGTTTCTGCCTCAATCTTTATTACTTCTTTCCATCTACAACCTTTGGACTTGCCCTGGCTTTGTTTTTTTTTTGAGGTTACACCAGTAGGTACACAAGATGACATATTTCTGTAGGGTTTTTTTTTTGGGTTTTTTTTTTTTTAGTTTTTAGTTTTTTGTAATTTTTATTGTAATAACTTATAGCTATAAATATTCCCCTTAGAACTGCTTTAGATGTGTCATGAGTAGTCTGGAAAGTTTTTGTGGTTGTTTTAGTGAGAATGGCCCCAGTCGGCTCATATGTTTGAGTACAAGGTCCCCAGGTGGCAGAATTGTTTGTGAAGGATTAGGACATGTGACCTTGGTGGAGGAGGTATGTCACTGAGAGGCTGAACTTTAAGGTTATGGAGGATGCATGTTCTTCCCAGTGTTGATCTCTACCTCCTACTTGCAGATCAAGTTATGTGAGCCACCATGCCTTTGTTCTGCCATCATGGTCTCTAACCCTCTGAAACTACAAGTCCCAGATTAAACTCTTTCTTTTATAGGCTGCCTTGGTCATGGTGTTCTAGCACTATAATTGTAAGCAGTATAGTTGAGCTGGAATTTTCAATTGATCTCAGAATTTCACCCTCCCCCCCAGTTTCTTAGAAAACCCACTGGCTGTTCAAAAGTGCATTGCTCAGTCTCTGACTCTGAATAATTTCTCTGGACATTGATTTCTATTTTTATTGTACTATGATCTGATACTATACAAAACAAAAACAAAAACAAAATCCTTCTAGTTCTGCTGCATTCATCAAGACCTGCTTTGTGGATGACTGTATGGTCTATTTAAGAGGAGATTCCATGGGTTGCTGAGAAAAATGTATCTCCTATGTCTGTTAGATGAAATGTTCTGTATACATAGGTTGAATCCATTTTATCTATGATGTAAGTGAAGTCTGAGGTTTTTTTGTTGTTGTTTTTGTTTTTTGCTTTTTGTTTTTTTTTCCGAGACAGAGTTTCTCTGTGTAGCTTTGGAGCCTATCCTGGCACTCACTCTGGAGACCAGGCTGGCCTGGAACTCACAGAGATCCGCTTGCCTCTGCCTCCCGAGTGCTGGGATTAAAGGTGTGCGCCACCAATGCCTGGCTAAGTCTGAGTTTTTTTTTGTTGATTTTTCAGTTTGGATGACCTATCAAGAGATGACAGTGAGATATGGAAATCATCCATTATTATTGTTTTAGGACCTGCCAGGCCTCTTATACCCATTAGAATTTGTTTTATGATATTTTGAACCACAACGTTTGGTGCATATGTATTGCAGTTATTATATCTTATTGCTATTTTATGGTTAAATGTTCTTTCAGAATTTCAGGAGTAATTTATTTACATTATTTCTGACAACACTCTCTCCCTCCAACTCTTCCCATGTATCTCCCTATTCCCTTTCAAACTCATTACTCTTCTTTTTATTATTATTGACCTCTGTGTGTGTGTCTTGTTAGGACTGATCAGTGGTTCATCTCTGGAGAAGACTGTTTATTCTTCTCTTACTAGTCATTAATTGCTTTAGCTCTTCATCTAGAAGTAGGACCTTGTGAGATTTTCCTGACTATGTTGACATGTCAGCTGGTATTGTCATTGTTTAAGTTTATGTGAGGGTTTTGTCAAGGTTTAGGGCATGCAACTCCTTGTCATATGTAGCAGACGCCCTGGTCCTTTGGCTCTCTGGAATAGGGGTTGTGTTTTAGATGTATCAGTTGCATATGGGCACCCATAGTCGGTCATTCTCTGCATTTTGCCCAGCTGTGAATTTCTGTGATGGGCTCCATCTGTTGCAAAACAAAACTTCCTTGATGAGAAGTGAGAGCTACACTTCCCTATGTGTAAATCCAAAACATTACTAACAGTATACTAGAAAGGAAAAAGGGAGAAACAAAAAGCAAGTAAGAAAAGAGGGCCAAAAAGGAAAAGATTGCACAGTGGTGAAAAAAATGCATAGAATTTTTAGACGAAGGCATAGAGGGGGAAAATAAAAATACTTAAAAATATAATGGCTTACAAATATTGCTAAACCGGTAGTAAAAGAAAAAAGGGTGAGTAAAAGAGATGGAAAAAGGAAAAAAAGATGAAGAGTTGGCTCAGTGTCTTTCTGTTTCCAAAGGTAAGACAGGCTATTTACTTTCTGGTGAAATGTGGTTAATTTTCACCTTGGGAGTAAAAGTTGGGTAGTTTGTTTTCAGTTTACAGTAAAAAGTGAGATTTTCATTAGCTTGGAGTTTCTCTTTTATTTTTTTGCATAAATGTTATTATCCTCTTCATATCAGTCATGAAAAATACAAATAAGCAACAGAAAATGAACTCAACAGGTTACAATAGTATATTTTTATGTATGTCTACATGTAAGAATAATTTTAAAAAGAGAGAAAAATTGGCTTGACCTAATCAATTCTGGCTAAAATAGGTGTGGACTATAACTAATCATGATTTCCTGTAGTATGTTTTAGGCTTTTATTATATAGCTTACCTTTTGTATAAACCCTGATAACTTGAAGTTTCTTAACTGGCATGGCCACCTGTAACCACAATATTTATGATACCTAGCATTCCTTTTGGGCCCAACAGTGTATAAAAATATGAAACTTATGCTGTTTGCGATAACGACAATAACGTTATGTCAAAGTATCTCTCAATCTGGTCAGCACCATGACAACTGTGGCAGGTTAATTTTTACTTTGCAAGTAGTGTTCTAATATTTTACCCTTTGCTACTTGTTGAAGAGGGGCCAGTAATGTCCCCCAGTCCCAACTTCAAAGACATTTCTTGGCATGACAATGTTCTTTTTTCTCCTTCTTCTAGTTATTTTCTACTTCTGACCTAGTTTGTCATTTCTTTGGGAAGTCAGATGAAATCTGTACTACTGTACTACCACTACTACTGTAGTGTATTTTTTCACATATTTGTTAAAGTTGCACTTAATTCTTTTGTATAGGATTATGGCTATATGAACATTTTGTACTCCAATGTTTACAAGTGTTTTCAACATGACAACTTCTAGATGAATGGATACTTAGAATAATTCAGGTAGGGACATACTTTATGTATAAAAATTAGCCGTGTGTGTGTGTGTGTGTGTGTGTGTGTGTGTGTGTGTGTGTGTGTGTGGTGTTAATTGTGTGTTTGGCACTCTATTCAATGCTATAGATACATGTTCACCATAGCAAAAATACACTTTGTGGATGAGGAAATAAGGCTTCAGAAAACCTAAATGATTTACTCAGAGGATCCAAGGAAGAGATAGATAATAGATGTGAGCTCAGGTCAACACATTTATTTATATTAGTTTTGGATCACTGGGCTCCTTTGTTCATCAATGTGTGATTATCATAAACAGCTTCCACTCATTGTTTAGACACTACAGACTGGTTTTTGTTACACGTCAAAGTAGGAAGTAGGAAAGCAAAGAAAGTCCTTGTACTGGGAGAGCTGGGGAACTAGGTCTCCAGTGTTCATTTCTTCCTCACTTTGCACTAGCAACTTAATGTTCTACAAAGTCTACAAAACAGGTAATCAGGCTGAACCAGCATAAGAAGATACCGAGTTTAACTCTGTTTATTAGATTAAGAGTGCTAGTGGCTCATATAGTAACACAAACATGACAGAGAGGTTCAACCAACTCCAGGATCCTAGCGCTGTTTTTCTTTTTTTCTTTTTTTTCTTCTCTGAGTCATGCTACTCCTCCCTGAATACTTATTTACTTAAGCGCCTCTGTATCAGACTTCAGCAGCAGCAGTGTGTTTCCCATACTGGACTGATTATTGGCTTGCTTTTCTCCGTAACAGTTTTCAACTTTTAAAATGGCCTTTAGATTTAGAGTTAAAGGGAGAAAACCTATTGCAAGCCTTGCCTCAGGTACCGAGTGATGAGTGATGTGACCTAAGTCAGCAGCTGATCGAACAGTGGGGAATCTGAAAATGCTATAGTGCTTTCTGACAAAGGGAGTGACACTCAGACAATCCGGGTACATCAGGGGCTCACAGAGCAGCAGGGCTGACTCTTGGGGAGAGGACACCTCTGGTTTCCCAGTCACCCCACTTTGCTAAGATGCCTATGCTTTCACTGAGTGGTGACGGCTGCTTGGGTATCCAGCCAGCTTCTTGTTTTCTCCGTCCCGGCCGTATTCTCCCTTCCGAGTCTTGACCTGCCGGGAGACAGATCTACTAGGATGACATCTGGCACCAAGAGGGACACTGCTGGTTCTGGGTGCAAGGCGGCAAGCCAGTGTCTACAGCCCCAAGGCCGGCAGGGTCAAGTTCCTCTGGGACTCTAGGGGAAGGCCACAGCTGAGGTGCTGCCACGCTAGGCCTTGTGGGCAGGCCCCGACCAATCACCGTGGGGTATACACGAACTCCAGCCAATCAGCGCCTGCCTTGTTCCCGAGTCCCGCCCGCTCTAGCCCAGGTCCCCGAACCCCGTCCCGGCGCCGGCATTCGCGGCTGTCGCTGCAGCCGCCTCCGGAGCCGACTCGGGCAGCCCGGTTCCTGGCGTCCTTCGTTGTCCCCTGTCGCCTTCACTGAAGATGAGTCCCTGCGCGGCCGCGCGCTTTCCCAGCGGAGACCCCCGGCGCACCTTCATCTAGCGACTGGT